GGAAATTTTCAGCCAACTCCACACACTGGACTTCATAACCCTATTACGCTGGGCCACCACCAAGCATGTAAGACCCTCCAGTCAGCCATCATTTCTTATACCCTGACCTTCATACTCTGTTTTTTCTGAGCTCATTCCTTTATCAATTTTTATTCCTTTGTCAGTTAAGATCCTGTATGAAGCAAATAGCATAAAACCACATTTGAACTGGCATAAACAATAGACTCACATAACTAGAAAGTCTAGCTCTAGGTCAGGCTTCAGACTTAGTTGAGCTAAGGGGTCAGTGATGTCAGTAAATATTTGGTTTCCTTCCTTTATTCTTCTGTTCACAGCGTTTAGTTCATCGTAAATTAGGTTCCACTCTTTCTCATAAGGTGGATGCCAGCTGCACTAAGGACACAAGTTTGCTTAGTTACACTCGGTAGGAACGAGGCCCCTTTCTCTCACAGGAGCTCGAAGGGCAGGGGCAGCCACCTTCAGACCATGAACTTTGTGGGGGATGCATGAGTACGGGGAGGAAAGAGTGTGGTAATCATATGGGGGAGGAGGTAATGGCTGGACAACCAGCACGTCCTCATCTATCAGTTATACTCTAGGACTCCTCCTTTGTTATTTCTGGAGCCCTTGTAGCTTAGTAAGCAAACCCCTCCATTTCCATACTTTCTGGATCCTCTCTTCTCTTACCCTTTCCTGAAATAGACTCAACCCTGAGGAAAATATTTCCCCACATCCCTCTTTCTTCCCTACCCCAGACCACAAAGAAGGAGGAAAGATCTGCATCTTAGTTCCCAGACTCCTGCCTTGTGCTCCCAGACCAGCATTTGTTCACCGTTGTGTAAAACACCTTCGAGGCCCATTGTCTGATTTTACCATTCTCTACCCCGGCTCATGTGTCCTTTCCCACCCACCTGGTCTTTCCTCTTCATTCTTTGAAGGTTTTGGTTCCAGGTTCAGTCTTTTCCACTCCCAGGCCCAGCTGTCAAGCTGCTGACTCCAGTGTTCACACAGACTGTCTGTCCAATACGAGGCTGTCGGTTCTTTGCTCTTTTCAACTCGTTTATATCAACCATCCACTTCTAGAAAAATATCTAGGTTCTGTCAGGCTTAACCTCTGATTTCTTAAATTCAAACATCTCACTTTTTTACTATACCCTAACTGCTTCCATTTTACCTGTTTCATTGATTTTACCCAGTTTAGTATCTTCCTGTCGAAAACAATTTGCTCTGCCCATGGTTTATATACTGTTTCTTCCGACCTCTGTTAGGACCTTGTTCCGTATGTCATTTCATACTTAATTTTAAAAATTGGTTTCAAATAGAATCATAAAAAAAGATAAATAGCTCAAACAGTGTATTCACACAAGATATAAATGTGTAATTATTTTCATATATTTTAATGTAGGACCAAGGCCTTTTTGTTAAGTGTGAATCACTTGATTGGCATTCCTCACTGTCCTTGTATAAACTCTACTGAAAATTTTTCATTTCCAATTTCAGTTTCTTTAAAGTAGAAAAAGAGCACTCCACACATATATAAGTAATCTGAATTTAGAAGCCTTCTGAATCTTCATAATTCTTTCCTCAATCTTCTGTAACAGCAGTTTTGGTGTGTTTTTTTGGGGGGTGGGGTTAGCTTTTTAGTAACTATCGTTTTAAAAGTATTCCCCATATGGTTTACCTAAACAACAGATCATTCTTTTTGCATGCATTTAATCAGTTAAATATTTAAATTACATGGCAACAAGTGTAATAGGCATAAACAGATTTAGGAACAAAAAGACTTAACTCTTGGTAAATATGTAAACTGGTTGAAGGAAAAATGAGGAAATGCATTAGAAAATAGTCTGCCAATCTTGAGTGTAACCATCAGCCAGTAGGTTTCACATGGGGGACATCAGTTATTGTGGAGACAGTTAAGGGGTCAGTATTCTGGTTTCTCCTGTGTTAAAATGCACCCTCCTGTGTCTCAGCCTCTTATACTGCATTAGGTCTCCTTGTTTTCACAGCCAGCTCTGTGGGGAATTGCTGAGCTACGCTCTCTCCAGCTCTTCACTTCTCTGTAGCCCCCAACCACAGAAATCTGACTTCTACCCCTGCAACTACCCCACTGACACTGCTCTTACCAGAGTCACCAGTGACATTCCTGCTGCTAAATTCAGCAGAGAGTCTTCTGTCTTTGAGATTTGTACAGCATTTCATACTGTTATTCACTCCCTCCGTTTTTCAGTTTTACTTTTCACAATTCCTAGAGCCCATCCTACTTGGTTTTCCTTTTACCTTAATGATTAAACTAGAGTTAGAGCTCAGTTGTTCTTCTGTTCTTACTCTGCAGATTCCCTTGGGCCAGTTCAACCACCCATGTAACTCCAATTACCGTTTAGTATTAATGAATTCCTCTTACATGTACCACAGCTGCTTCAGACTTGACAAATCCAAACTTGAATTTTTCTTTCCCTCCCCCCCGAAAGAGCCTCCTCCTTCATCTAAATTCCCTTTTTTAGCAACAGCGCCTCTGTCCATCTCTCCAGTTCCAATATAGAAGCCTGGACATCATCTTTTGTTCTCTCACCTCCTCCTGACATCCATTCAGTACCAGATCACACTGATGCTACTTCCTGAATATCTTTCACATCACTCCAATTCCCTGTGTTTCCTAATTAGGTATACTATAATATTATTCCCCAGTTACACTTGGAGCTTTCCTTTCAAATGATCCCTGTTTTCTAAACATTTCAACTCACTGTAATTTGAGTGATTTCTCTAAAATGCATATCTTTTCTCATCTCTCACCTGATTAAAACCCTTTAGTAGCTCTCTCATTGCCTTCAAAGTAAGTCTGAACTCTTAAATGATTCCCAAAGCTATTCATTCTCTAGTCCCACTTAACCTTTTCAGACTTCTCTTGCCTTACAGCCTTTGGCCTTTGGATAATTCCTGCATCTTGTGCAGATCTTGTCTTACTTTACTCCTTCTAGAAAATCTTTCTAGAAACGCTCCTTCTGTGGTCTTTCAAAGTCCTCCCTGTTTACCCTATCATGACACTCATCTCAATGTAGTACAATTGCCTGTTTATCAATTTGTCTTCTCCACTATATTATAAATAGCAGGGTCCCAGTCAATTTGCCTTTTTTAACCTTTGGTGCCTGTTACAATGACCAGACACAGTGCATACTTATTTGCAAAACAAATAACATTAAACAAGTCACAGCCTCTCTGAGCCTCAATTGCATCATCTGTTAAAAGAGAGTATTGTCCTGTCTACATTATAAGGTTGTTTTGAGGTCTTGTACAATAATGGGAAGTAAGTTTAGCACTGTGGTTAGAAGAGTGGGTTCTGGATCTGTACTACCTGGTTTTTAATCCTAGCTTCCACCATATAGCCAGCTGTGTGACCTTGAGCAAATTACTTCTCTCTCTGCCTTAGTTACCTCTTTGGTTAAATGAGAATAACCACAGTATCTGTCTCATAGGGTTGTTGTGAGAACTGAGTTAGTAAATAGAAAGCATTTAGTACAGTGCCCAAACACAATAAATATTACCTATTAATTATAATATTTTTATTTATAAGCTCTCGAATCATACATTATACATAATTATATGTTATAAATGTATGTACACACATACGGCATCAATTTTTAGTTTCAGTGTTTTAAGGGGGTAAAGGAAGGGTATCATGATTCTTAATTTTTTTCCTTTTCTCTTTTAGGATAATACCATAGTTATACCAGAGTTTATTTTCCAAGTCTTAAATTCAAATTGCCATAGTTGATTCTCTTGAAATTTTGGTAAAACATTTTTAAAATTGTTGTTCCATATAAAAAGAGAATTTTGAAAATGTTTCCTTGCTGAATCTCAAAATATTTTTTGAGTCTACATACATAGTAGGTGGACATTAGCACAGGAAAAATGTTTAAATAAGAAAGATAACTGGTTTAATTTATAAAGGACAGTTGTTATGTCTTCGGCACCTAACTTTTTTTCTCTATGTGATTTAATTACATAAACAATTCAGTGTTTGGAAAGTACAGATTCCATTAACTCTGTCACTATGCAAGAAAAAAAGAAAATACAAGTGCATTAGTTTTGTGTATATGTGTTCCCCTGAAAGAAACTTGCTTAATTTTATTAAAAAGTTCTTTTTAATTTAAAATTTAATTAGGTAATATACATTTGTGTGTTAACTTTGGATCAACAGAAATGCCTGATTTTTATCCTTTTTTCTGATTCCTTTTAGAGTTGGTGGTTCCAGGATTTTATTGAGAATGACTTTAGGAAGAGAAGTGATGTCTCCTCTTCAGGCAATGTCTTCCTACACTGCAGCTGGTAGAAATGTTTTAAGGTGGGATCTTTCACCAGAGCAAATCAAAACAAGAACTGAGGAGCTCATTGCACAGACCAAACAGGTGTATGATTCTATTGGCATGCTGGACGTTGAGGAAGTAACTTACGAGAACTGTTTGCAAGCCCTAGCAGATGTGGAAGTGAAGTATATAGGTGAGTAGGATGCAAAAGCACATCAATATTTCATTTTGTGGTCATCATAAACCATTTTATCCTTCCTGCCTTGGCAATTCATTTTCCAATTTTACAAGACATTGATTTTTGCATAATGATTTGTAACTGCTTAAATGGTTAATGATTCATAATTGCTTAGAATTATATTACCAAGATTAAAAATTGTTATTATGTGGCAAAGGTGCTATAAAATGTACACTCTCTTTATAACTGCTTTCTGGAGAGCAATATATATCAAAATTTGTAAGAAGTTCATACCCTAGCCCAGTAATTAATTCCACATCTAGGCATTTACATAATCTAAGGAAATAATCAGATATAGGAAAAATCATGTATAAGTTTATGTATAAACAGGTACTCTACCATAGCAAAAGCTTGGAAACAACCCCCAGGTGGCAGTCAGTAGAATAGCTAAATAAATTATAATACATTCACATTCTGTAACATTATGTAGCCATTAAAATCATGTTTAGGGACAGTATTTAATAACATTTTTTTTAAAGCACAGAGAAAGAAAATCAGAAGAAAAAAATTTAATAAAGGCCGGTATCTTGGGTCCTGGGTTTATACTTGATATTTAATTTACTCTTTAAGATTTTCTCTATTTTCCATATTTCCTACACTTAAAATATATTATTTCTTTTTTTTTGCTTTTGTGTGTCGGGGGGTAGGTAATCAGGTTTATTTATTTATTATTATTTTTTAATGGAGGTACTGGGGATTGAACTCAGAACCTCATGCGTGCTAAGTGCATGCTCTACCACTGAGCTATACCCTCCCCCTTAAAATATATTATTTCTATAATATAAGACCCTTTGAATAATAAGGGATGAAGATTCATACCAGTTACTTCAAAGGATTGGATATGTTTTGTAGGATAATTAAGGCTAAACCTTGGCTGTGTACCCAGGCTTTGTAAGAACAAAGGCTATCTGTAGAACTGGATATCGTAAACATCTGCATGTGTTCTGGAATTTGGGAGGTTGTCCGGAATCCTGCACAGCCCTAATGACCTAGTGACTCTTTACCCTCACTAAGAGTTCCTTTCCCTATGTCTTACCATAGCAGAGCTTGGCTACCTTCTCTTATCTCTGCATTTTTGTTTGTTTCTGCCTCTTGCTACCCACTGCTTCCCTCTCATTTTTAGCCACTAAATCTTGCTATGAGCCTTGAGTTTAAACTCTTGAATAAAAAAGGTCTGGTTGATCTCATAGTCAGTGTCAAAAGGATGGGGTTGGTCCCCATTCAGCAGAGCTTTCCCAGCAGGCAGGTTCATGTGCAGCTCCCAGATTGTATGTGGTTTGCCCTTGGTTCATATATTCACTCACGTCTTGAGTCATTTATGGTTAAGACAGTGTGCCAGCCTGGTAGCCTGTGCATTGAACAAATGTAAAAACTGGTGGGGGAAAAAATGAAACCTTTTAAAACAGAATTATCTTAAATTCAGTTTCTTTCCCAATCATTCATCTTTTAAGTATACCTTTAGTTTTGTGACATTCGTTCTTGCTCTCCCGCAAATTTATCTTTGTGGGGTATTCATAAAAATGTTTGAGTTTCAGAATAGATTTTTAAAGACTAACTTTATGTGTATGTTCTCAGAGTTCAATCTCTCTCCTGCAGTAGCTGTTAAAACCCCATTTGTCTAGTGTCGGGTACCAGGCACCAGCATTGTTTCTAGTTTGGCAGTGAGAACATAAGTCTGGTTCCAGGTCTTTGTGGCAAAGTAAGGAAGGAAATGGTTTTCAGTATTATTGTTTGTTTAAGAATATGTTTCCAGTTTTAGACTCCTGCATGTTGTTCTGCTCATTTACATTCTTGAGCAATTTTGATTCCTTCTTAATACCTTTTGGAGCTAATTTTTAAAAGTAAACAGAAATTGTAACTCTGTAGTGAACTCACTTAAACAAGTGCTGTATATATTAAATTTTAAATCTTATGTTTCATTCTTTTTTTAATCAAGGAACAAAAAATGATGTATTAAATCCTAAAATAATAATGATCTAATTTGATTTTTTAAACAGGTATTATGAATTTATTCAGGTATTTGTGGTGATTTTTTTTTCAGCTTTCTTTGTAACAGTGTCTTAAGAGGACTGACACGAGTAAGGTAGCTTGTTTAACTGGGTAGTTTCTTCGTATGTAAAGGATAGCTTTATTGCCAACCATTTATCATGTGTGTACATTTTACCTATTTACAATACCTTCAAAGTGCTAAAGATATTAAAGTTGAAATCTATTCATTGTCACAGCTTAACTCCAACGATACCTATAAACGATACTGATTTATTGAAGTCAAAACCAAAAATGTATGAAAAATCCAACAACCAACTTTAATATGTGAAAATGAGAGTGGACAACATTACCACCATCATTTAACAGGAATAGCCCCAATATTCAGCTGCTTACTGGATCTGTCCACTGAGATTTCTAGGAATCTTCTGAAATTATATGGAAGTCTTTATATTTGTATGAATGTTAACATTTGAAGGAGGGTCCATGACTTAGATTAGATTTTCTAAGACATCTGTCATAGAAGTTGAGAACTTCTATTCTAAACAAACCCCATCCCACTAAATGGGTCTGCTCATTTCTTAAACATCCTCTGTGTTTGGGAGTCCCTAGGCTTGCAGTCTCTGCTTCTCCAGTCCTGACGGAGCTCTTCCTCTTGCCCATCTTCTAGGTTCCGCTTTCTCCCTCAGACTTCGCATAGTGCTCCAGTCCTCCATGCTGCTGCCTTTGAGTTACTGTCCCATTCATTTGACAGCTAAGCTGGTCTGTCCTGTATGGTTCTTTATCTTTTTAAGTACTCTTCCCTACCCCCGACTCCCAGACTATAAAATGCCTCAGTATAAGAACCACATCTTTTTAAATCTACATTCCCAGTTACTAAATTACACGCTAGACATACTTTGGTAAGTACTCCATGCACACCCTTATTGTTCCTTACAGTGCCGCTGGAATAGCCAAGTCCTGCATTAGAGACTGCTTCTCATTAGCCTCAGGAGCCTTTACAGAAAGTATAAAATGAAAAACTTATATTGGGATAATATTTCCTCTAGGTGCGAGATATTTTTCTTGATACTGATTTGATGAGTCCTTATGGTGTCTTCTTCTGTTAACAGTGGAGCGAACCATGCTAGACTTTCCCCAGCACGTCTCCTCTGACAAAGAAGTACGAGCAGCAAGTACAGAAGCGGACAAAAAACTCTCTCGCTTTGATATCGAGATGAGCATGAGAGAAGATATCTTTCTGAGAATTGTTCATTTAAAGGTAAATGATGGTATAAATCCTTTTAAAAGGAAAAAAAAAACCTGACAATAAAAAAGTAAAAACCTTTAACCAACGATAAAAAGTATTTGAATGTTCCTAGATTTTGTTTCTAATTATTATAATGGGTGCAGCACAGTGTTATATAATGTTGTCATACCACTTAGGTTTATGTTGAATTGCTAATTACATTCACTTAAAATTATTAAGACTAAGTATAAAAGAGTGTACGTCCATAAATATAAGGCTTTCTAACCATCATGAACTTACTGGTTTAATGTAAAAACATCTTTGAATTTTTAAAATATTGCAAGATCTATATTAGATCAGATCAACTAGAAGCAAATGAAATTGAATTATCTGTAAAAATCGTGTGGTTTTGGCCATAATATTGATGACGTAGTATTGATGCTGCAGGCCAGAGGATCTCCTATCTGTCATCCTCACATTTTTCAGGATTCAGAGATTACGGATAATGAATGCTCTAGGTGGGCCTGCCATGTGTGTTTTTGGTCTTTTCATCACCGATGTTAATTTGCTCCATAGCATTTTCATCATGTCTTTGCTTTGACTTTTTTTAAATTTTTTTTTATTGTCATGGCACTCAGCAATTTAAATTTATGTTTCACATAGGCATTTTTGTTTAATTTTGCATAAAAACATGCAAAATCTCAAAAACTGTGTTCCTTTCAGCAAACTACAACAAGAGTTGAAATAAAAAGCAGTTTTATTTCAAATGTTTTATTTGTAATTCACTCTGAATATGTAATCAAGACTTTATTTAGACATGTAAGATGTGCCTACTGTCTGTTTTCTCATGTCAGACATTTTTCACCTTATAATTGATATTCATCTATGTGGTTCATAATCGTTCATCTTTGGCTCTATAAAAATAACCTAAGTTAAAATAACTATGGTTATTCTTTATTAGGTAAATTGTTCTCTTTTCTCCTTTTGACCCCAGTTATTCTATGTGATTCAAATCATGGCCCTTATAGTCTCCTATTTTTATTTCATCCCCAAATAATTTAATTTCTTTTCCATATGGATATTATATATGTTCTTTAGAACTTTTCCTCAGCATTTCTACTTTCCTTTGATTAGTTCTGCTTTCATCCTGACTTCTAAGTTCTCACTTGGGGTTTTCTTGCCTCAAAAAGGTATTGCAGTCTTAATGTTATTGATTGAGTTCAATGTTCTTGCTACTGTTCCACCTTCTCTGATTATTATGAATGTTATCAGAATATGGGAGGTTTGTCACTCTAGACTTCTCTTTTATACTTCTCAACTTTTTATATATTGGGCTCTGATACCACTAAATTTGGAAAAAAAATTGCTGCCTGGATAGTAGACTAGACAGTAGCCTAGCACACTATAAGTGACCTGATAAACACCACTGTATTCATTAGATTTGTTCATTTATCTGAGCTCGTTCACTTCAGGATTTATTATATTAACTTAAAATAGTTTCAGATTTGGTTACATGATTTTTCCTCTTTCCAAAGTAGTTTATTCTCATACATGTGGATTATTGTGTGAACATTTTTAAGAACATTTACAATGTTAAGTCTACTTCAGAATAATAAAAAGTAGCCACTGTATTTGTTTGTGCATTGGAGCTTATTTGGTGATTGAATTTAGTTACCTTTAAATACTTTTCTTGGCAAATAGTTACAATTTTTTAGTCAATATTTTTAAAAATCTAAAACTACCAGTATCAGTTTTCTGCTAGAGATGGACTCTTTAATGGACTCATCCCATTTATACTTAAAAAACAAAGTTAAATATATCTAAATCTTACATTTATGTTTCTCTGTAACACTAAGTAAAATAGGGCAACCATGATATGATACATAAAGCCTTCATTAGGCTGGGTAATAGAATCGTAAATTTATGTAGAGTCATCAGTTTCAGGCATGCTCTACAAAAATGAGGGTGCTGAAAATAATACTGAAGTCTCAAGATACCACCAATGTGGATGATAATCAACTGTATTATCTTCATTAGGTACAGAATGTGTTATTTTAGCTCTTACGTTATTTTTCACTTAAGATTGATGAACAGAAATATGAGATTACCTTTCACAGTTCTTTATGGCAAAATAAATAAGTGTTCTAGTTATCTACTGATGTACAGCATACTCTAAAACTTAGTGGCTAAAAATAGCAACAATCATTTTATCTTCTCTCACAGTTTCTGTGGATCAGGGATTCAGAAAGGTATCAGTTGGGCAGTTCTGGCTTGGAGTCTCGCATGTGGTTGTGGGCAGTGGTGGCTGGAGCTGGAGCATGTAGAGGCTAGTCAGGCAGCTCTGTCTTCAAGTCCCTGCCAGGCACCTCCATGTAGTCTCTTTATGTGGACTAATTTGGACTTCCTCACAGCATGGCAGCATCAGGGTGGTAGGACTTCTTTCATGCAGCCAGAGGGCTTCAGCACAAATGTTGCAACAAACTACATGGAAGCTGCATTGCATTTTATGACCTATCTCAGAAGCCACATACCATCACTTCCACAGTACTATATTGATTGACTAGTCATTGCGATCTGCCTGGATTCAAGGGACACCACCTCTCAGTATAGGGATTATCAACTAATTTGCAATCACGTTTCAGGACCTTTAACATAGCAATTTGTTGACTAAATGGATGGATGAAATCACAGTGGAGCACGAGACTAACCAGCGTGCTTCTAGTCTTCCTGTCTCCTTCCCAAGTGTGGCTAGTAATACTACTTTATATTTGTATAGCACTATCATTATCTAACTTAACTTTTACACCAATCTTCAGAGGTATCCCTTTTTATAAGTGGAGGAACTGAGGCTTAGAAGTCATAACTTTTCAGCATAGAAGTAGCTGGTAAATGCTTGCCAGAAGTCATGTAGACTTTATGTTAAAACCCTCAAAGGAGGGAGGTGTCATGTTTGATTCTATTTTGTATCACTGGCAGAGTGCCTGGTACAAAGTACAGTAAACATTTAGTAAATGTTCATCAAAGTAAAGTGAGAAACTATGACAGATCTGAAAAATAGGCCTTCAGTAATTGGTGCTGGGACATAGGTTATCCACGTGGGGAAAAAAAATTGGATTGCTTCCTCACAGCCAAGTGAAAACAATTCCTAATGGATTAAAGTCTTAAATAGGTAAACTTTAAAGCTTCTGGAAATTTATATAGGAATATGCCTTTATGGCATCTGAGCAGGGAAGTATTTCTTAAAAAGACATAAAATATAAGGCTGATAAACGTGACTACATTAAAGTAAAGAACTTTTATTAATAAAGAAAGTGAAAACACATTAATACTAAAAAATACTCAAATACTAAAAAAAGAAATTAGCAAAACATGAAACTAGCAAAGCATTAGTACCTAGTATATATAAGGAGCTACTACAATCAATAAAAGACAAACATCCCAATAGAAAAATGGGGAAGTGACATGGAAAGATATTTCAGATGAAACACTTTTCTGATGAAATGGCAATTAAACATATGAAAAAATATTTACACTCATTGAATCAGGGAAATGTAAATAAAGACCGCAATAAGATACTATTTTTCACTCACCAGATTGGCAAAAATTAACAAATCTAACAATGCCAAGTGTCTGTGCGGGTGTGAATCATTGGGAATGTTTGTGCACCACTGATGAAGGTATAAATTGATTTTTAAAATAATAGTAATAACTAATTTGGGGGGAAATCTAGTATTATGAAGTTGGATCTGACATTCTCCGTTAAGTTAGCATATCCTCCCCACTCCCACCTCAGCATTTACCTAGAAACAACGTTTGTATTTGTGCACAGGTAAAATTGGACATATATTCATGGCAACATTATTTATAATAGGAAAACACTGAAACAACTCAGATTTCCATCAATAAGAAAATGGATCAATAAATTGTAGTATATTTATAATGAAATATTTTATACAAATGAAGGAAATAAACTACAGCAACTTGCAACATCATGGCTAAATTTTAGTAACAAGGAAAGAAAAAACAAAGTTGCAGAACACTGCATACAATATATAATTTTAAAAAGTCAAAAAGAAGCATAACTAAACAATGTACATGTAAGTAGTAAAACTGGAAAAAATTGCTTAACACATAATTCATAGCAGTGTTTTAATATTCTATTTAATAAATTTGAGAGTGGATTCAATTTGTCTTCATAACATATATATGTAGTTATATTCATTTGTAGATGTCAAATATTACATAAAAATATAACATTTAATTTATCCCTAATTCTACCAGAAGAAAAAAAACAAGAAAAAGAAATGAAAACAAGGATGTCCTTATTCCTTTAGCTGAAAAATGTTCAGATATCAAAAGCCAGCAGTTGTGGCCTCAAGTCTTGGTGTTTCCCAGGCCTGACAAAGGCTTCTCAATCATTGGCTGAAAAGCCAGCAAAGATCAAAAAGGCTTTATAGACACTCTTTCAGGCCATATTGGTGAGAAAATGTACACTGTCTTCATTATAAAACAATCCAGGCAGATAATATTTTATGCCAGTAGCCTGCTAAGTAGTAAGTACAGAAAAAGAAATCTTTAAGGAAATTGAGTCTGAATTACACAAGCTGAATTGAGAAATACAATTACCTATTGTAATATTTATGTTTTTTCAGAGCTATGGACTTTGGTCTTGCCAATTCATCTTAGCCAATTAGTGATTTAAACAGAATTTTAATGTTCTAGTGCAATTGAATGAGTCACAAGATTGCATATCAGTGTTTTTAAGCATTACGTGATCTACTTTGAGCCGTGGAGACCCAGTGCCAAATTAAAATACAAGAACCAATGCCTTATAAAAAATAATTAATTAATTTAAAATAAATGAAATTTTTTTAAAAAGTAGTGCCTTAAAACTATGACCAAAAAAAAAAAAGAGAGAGAGAGAAAGAAGAGAACAAAAAGAAAAACTTTTTAAAGAGGAAAAGCCACTTCCAAAATTCAGCATGGTGGTGGTAATTTTCTTTACTTACCATGCCTTCTTGATTTTGAAATGCTTAAGTCTCATTGTCAGTCATAATACTACTGAAGCTTGTACCTTTGTCAGGCTCTTAAAAGCCTAGAGATCTGCTATGAAGCCTCAACTACCTTGCCTTCGTTTCCCTGTTAGCCAGATGCCCCTGTTTTATGCTTCCCAGGTACTTACCTCTCTTCACTCACTGCATGATATTAACATTATTTGCTAATATATGTTTTTTTTTCCTTCTTGTGACTTAAGGAGCCTCCAGGATATTCACCTTTGTTTCCCCAGTGCCTGACATAAATTGGAGCTCAGTAAATGGATGTTGAATGGAACAGAACTGGTCCCAGTTACAGTGTGTCTCCATGTAGTGTGGTTCCCCTCTCCGGGTCCTTGCCCTGCCGAGGCCCACACAGAAGCAGAGAATCTTGTGCGAGCATATTGAGTTAGTGGTCAGCAAGCAGGCCTTTCTGCAGCCCTCCTGTCCAGAGTGCAGGCAGCTGCCTCAGAATGTCCTCTTCACAGTGAAATGTTAGAAACCTGACAGTAAATGATTGAAAAAACACAGAAAAAAGGGGAAAGAAACTGCATATATAACACATTGAGTTAAACAAGTTTGTATCTCTATTTTAGCTTTTGCAGTAAGACCTAAATTATCATACTGTTATTCAGTTAGATTTCTTTAGTGTATTCAGAGCTCATGGATCAGCTTTTCTAAATGATATTCAGAGGAATATACTATCTTAATCTTCAGCATTCTTTTAACAAACTGTAAATTCTAGTTTGATACACAATACACGAAATCCCACTGAAATATTTTTTCATATTTTAGAAACTGGAAATGTGAAAGTCTTGTAAAGAAAAGGACAAAGTCATGGGTCAGAAGGTGGAGAGCACTGGGGCGATTTAAGACAATTTTTCATTTTTTCACTATGAAATTTTAAAGAATGATAATGAATTAAGGATGGTAATGTAGCAGTGTGGCATATTAGGGAAAGTAATAAACTAAGATTTTGAAGAATTTATTTCTATCCCCATTTGTACCACTAAACAGCTGTGTGATCTTAGAGAAATCATTTAACCTCAGTTTTCTGACTGTAAAATTAGCATATGAGCATATGTGTAGGAACGCATGTGTGCGCACGTGCACACATTCATACTTTTATGTAAATGCTCTTAGTTATACGAGGAAGTTGGGGAAAAATAAATCTCATCACCACATAGATTAAAATACCATCCCCTGCTGTCAGATTATATCAATTTGAAAATTACTTCAGAGAACTTTAGCTCCTACCTGTACCCCCACCCCAACCCCAAAGAGAAGAAACTTTACCCAAAGAGGCCTGAGACCTTGTTCAGATTCAAGGGATTAAATTCTTTTACAGGAAAGGAAGGTGCAACTGTGGCAGAGCCTTCTAGAGTGTTGGCTGATTCCCTCTTAGAAAATCCTTGGGCAGTAATTCTGACCTTGCCTGAAGATTAGAAGGGAGAATATTATTATGATCAGCTTTGGGACAGGAATGTGCTGTAGAAGCACGTTTTAGAAGTGCTTTACTCCCTCCAGAGGCCTCCGGAGATTTCCCGACCCCCTGAGTTTGATTGGCACAAGGTATCTCGTTATAACTGAATCAGATTTTTGATAAGTGTCATTTTTGTAGTAAGTCAGCTATTTCAGGACAGGTAATTAGTCATAGTTAATTAGACCTAATTCAGGGCTGATTTTTCTCAGAACATCCTTCTTCCTGTTTACACTTAGATTACCTATTTAGGGAGGTCAGTAGTTTTACCTAACCTAGACCAGAAGTGGTGAGTTTCCTATGCTGAGTATACCTACAGGCTTTCTCAAGTAGCAGCCCTGATGCTCCCAGGTACGCCAGGTCCAGGCCCACCTAGTATGAGAGCCCATCCTGATCAAGCGGTAGAGTAAGAATCCGCCGTACATAAGCTGGCGAGGCTTGCGATGAGCCTCTCTGCTAAGCTCAGGGCCACGTGTGACCAGGTGAAGCCCAGGAACCCGCACTGTTGTCCTGCTGTGTGCCTTGCTTCTGCCTTGGCCCACTGCCCAGGTGGGAAGGTTTCTCTGCTCTGGGTCTCAGCCTGCTCGCCTGCCTTGTCAGGCCCTTCTCACCAGGGATTTTTTTTCCCTCTCCCCCACTGCACGTAGCTGCTGCTTAGATTCTCCCCAGCCTTACAACTTCCGGTATTGTCCTGTCTAGGGACTCCTGTTGCCATGCCCCATGCCTCAGGACAGACTTCCTGGCGCTGTGGAAGCTCAGTCAACCCAGGTTAATCATATCCGGATGAACACTGTGATTTGAACTGCTGGCCCTCTCTGAGGGAGTCAGCCCACAGCCCGGCTGTCTCCCCAGCCATCCTGGGTCTCTTGCCATTGCAGGCACCTGCTGCTGGGACCCCAGTATGTGCCAATACCAGCTAGGGAGGGTTCCACCTCCAGTCATGCCAGCCTGCTCAGAAATTCCCCAAGGACACAAAACGGGTTATTATGGAAAAAGGAGTCTTAACTGTTCTCAGCCTCCACTGAGGATAAAGTCAGAGGAAACTGTGAGTAATGGATGCACAATAAGCGCTTTAGTGCTGTGACTCAGAATTATTTACTGGTAGGTAAAGGGAGATACAGATTGTTGTATCAGGTAGTACCCTCAGCTGAAATACGACTCTGTTTACCTGCTGCAGCAGAATGTAAAAAATGACAGAACTATTGCAGCAAGAGCCTTTTACCAACAATCTAAAATGCAGGCCCTAGAGCTAAACACAGTCCTTTTAAAGATCTAATTAGTGGGAAAATATAAAGCTTGGGGTGAACGGCCCGAGTCTTTCCTGAAGAGAGTGCAGCCAGCGGTAGAGCTCGAGGGCTGAGCGGGCTCGAAGCCTCTAGAGACAGGAGTCCCTCATTGGCTCTCGGCCAGACTGAATCCTTTACACCTGCTGAGTCTGTCTGGAGCCCACTTCCCAGGGACTACGAACTGACCCGCTACCCAGATGTGCCATGTGTATTCTGCCATCTGTTTTAAAGAAACATCTGGTGTGTTTATTGCCTTGCTGTGGCCAGGGGAACGTCCCCCTCTCCTCCAGGGCCCTCGTCCTTTTCAGTAAGTGTGGTTGCCTGGCTGCCTGCAGGCTCGCATATACTGTCCAGCGTTCCTCCTCTGTGTGCAGTGCTGACTCATTTTCCCCAGATGCTTGTTCATATGCAGCTTGCCTTGGTCCCTTGACCTCGCTTGCCAAATGACAGTAAGGCATTTTTGAAGTATTGGAAGCCCTTTGCTGGCGTTCAATCCAGCTGTCCATGTTGGGTATGTTGGCAAAAGAATCCTCCTCTCCATTTGTGTAGAATTGGCCCATTCTTTCTATTCTTGCCTCTCAAGTGGAACCAGGTTAGCAAATGATAGAAAATTAAATCCGGATGATTTGTGATAAGAAACCTGTTTTGTGAAAAAGACCACTCAGTCATAAAGAAAGCTCAGAATGAGATTATGCAAATGTTTCTAGTCACATTTTCAAGTGGTACAGGCACACTTGATTCTGATGCAAGGCAAGGAAATTCTGGTCAGCTCTTTATTTATTCTTCTGTTTTAAATGAGCAGAAACTCAGTAAAGCATAAAAGGAATTAGGTTTTCAAAAAGGGCTGCCTCATAATCACCTGTGTGCTTCATAGCCCAGGAGAGATGATGAATAAATTTTGCTTTGGCTTCATAGTTTATGATTTACCCATGCACTGTTGTAACAGAAATGAGAGAGATTGTCACACTTTAATTTCAGGAGACCTGTGATCTGGGGAAGATAAAGCCTGAAGCCCGACGATACTTGGAAAAATCAGTTAAAATGGGAAGAAGGAATGGGCTCCATCTTCCAGAACAAGTACAAAATGTGAGTTTGTTTCCTTTTCTTATTAAAGAACTAAAGAATAAATGAAACACAATACAACAAAAAACAGGAATTAGGGAAACACATGTTTATAACATGAGAAATAGCCCATAATACGAATCCACGTACAGTGTTTTCGGTAGTGACTACATTCTGCAACTCCTATTAACCTCATGATGACTGACCAACAACTGTTAGCTTAATTAGTTTTAATCCTGTCCAGGCTTTATTTGTTTCACATATGCTAAGCTTATTTTCCTTTCTCTGTTGTACATTCTCTGATAGCTAGCTCAGATCTTAATACTTGATTTGTATTCTTGCTCCCTTGTTCATAGAATAGAGCACTGGTGATAAAATCCTTAGGACATAGAGTTTTAAAACTAGCATTTTGTTTTTTGTGTTTTTTGTTTGTTTGTTTGTTTAACATTTTTTATTGATTTATAATCATTGTACAATGTAGTGTCAAATTCCAGTGTAGAGCACAATTTTTCAGTTGTACATGAACATATATATACTCATTGTCACATTTTTTTTCTCTGTGAGCTACCATAAGATCTTGTGTATATTTCCTTATGCTTTACAGTATAATCTTGTTTATCTATTCTACAATTTTAAAATCCCATCTATCCCTTCCCACCCTCCACCTCCTTGGCAACCACAAGTTTGTATTCTATATCTATGAGTCTATTTCTGTAAAACTAGCATTTTGGAATGGAACACCCTATGATGAACATATGCCCCTTAAAGGTGGAGAGATTTGCTTCTCAAACTTTCTCTGTTGTCTAATACCATAGAGAGCTTCCAGTTTCAGAAATAAACTTGACTGCAGAATTAGCTCATTCTTTTGCACAGGAAATATAATCATGATTTATTTCCAGGTTGTTCTTCTAGCCAGGAGAACTGGAAACAAGTTTGAAAGATATTCAAACTGAGTGATGTCAACACGGTAGACACGTGTGAGGGCACCACTGAAAAGTAGGCGCCCCAGGAAACCTCCCCTCATGTCTTTGTGGCCCAGACTGGATAGTATGCCTAATCCTGAATCCACCGTTAGTCAGGGGAGTGCCAGGGTTACTTGAACCAGTCACTGCTGCAGTGAGGGTGGGATTACCTAACTGGTGTAGAGGTCACATGCATGGACCTTCAGATGGGTTCCGGTCCCACCTAAACTACATGGCTACTGTAGAGTGGGGGAGAAGGGGAAAGGGGGCTTGGGGAGACAAGCAGAGTGCCTAAAAGTGACACTGTGTATTAAATAAGTAGTCTGAAATTTACTGTGCATCAGAATTACTGGGAGGGCTTATTAAAGCCCTGATTATACATGGCCCCACTTTGAGAGTTTGTTTTTCAGTAGGTTTGGTGTGGGTCTCAAGAATTGGCATTTCTATGAGGGAGCTCAGTGATAGAGTGCATGCCTCACATGCACGAGGTCCTGGGTTCAATCCCCAGTACCTCCATTAAAAAATAAATAAATAAAAATAAATAAATAAACCTAATTACCCCCCTGAAAAACAAAACAAAGCGAAGAATTGGCATTTCTAACAAGTTCCCAGGTGATTTTGGTGCTTCTGGTCAGGTACACACTTTGAGAATGAGTGTGGTTTACATAAATTTTATTATATAGCATTTTTAGAAGAGTATGGCAGATTAGTAAATTATCTCATGTGTTTTCTTGTGGTTTTCTTCTTATTTCTTCCTTTGCTCTCCCACCTAATACTTTCTATACAAATGTTAGGGCCCATAAATTGCGTTTGTTTGCAAGCACCCTATAAAATTAAGGCATATCCTGTTTTCCAAAGGAACCATAGAATTAATTACTCGGTTCTTATCTCTTGGCTTACTTCAGCACCCAACATTGATTTGCTAAATTAAAATTCTGAATTGGGAAAGATTAGAAATGTTCATTATTAATAGGCTATTAGATTCATTCACTCACTCAGCAACTACTTATTGTGTATGTACTATGTGCCAGACTCTGCTTTGACTACATCTGCTAAATGTGTTTAGTTCTTACAAATTTATGCCTAATTTCTAACACATTGCCAGGACTGCCTTATTGTACATGTCACATGCAGATGCTAATTGACATCACATAGAAGATTGAAGAAAACTATTTGATCAAGCACATCTCTAGAAAGTGCTTCCTGAGGGTTGGATACAAAACCCAGTCTTCACATAAAAGTGAAACTTACTTCACTGATGGCGATAAAAATGAAAGTTTCATTTTATTGTTAATGTCCTGTATTTTTATCTTTGTTTTAGGAAATCAAAGCAATGAAGAAAAGAATGAGTGAACTATGCATTGACTTTAACAAAAACCTCAATGAGGATGATACCTTCCTTGTATTTTCCAAGGCTGAACTTGGTAAAATTTTGTTATTTTTCTGGATTAGATCATATAATTTAGGCAAATAATGTCACCTCACTGTTTGCCAAATCAAAGTTAAAAGAGTTCTTTAAAAAACATACCTTCTACAGAACCCACCACCTCTTCTACATAAAACCCAACCAAACCATGCCTAGATTTTAGGCTATAGGAGTGTGTACGATTTCTGGAGACAGTCCAGAAGAAATTTCATAATCGTTCATGGTAACTTATGCTAATGTTTAACACCCTTCAGTGCTTTGATTTTTTTTTTTTTTTTTTTGCCTCACAGTGTCCTCTACGTTGTAACTTAAACTAGTCTCTTCTTGTTCTGTTATGAGTTTTTCTTGGCTTAATTTTGCCTGGTCTCCATCAAAACACCATCTGTACAAGTGCACTGAAGCCTATTCATCTTGTAAATTACCATCTCCTAGGCCACCTGTCCTCTAACCACCACCCCCATTCCAGTAACATCAAAACGTTATTATAAGAATTATCATTATTTTACTTTAATTTCAGTTACTCCACAGAATTCCTAGAGCTTCTTAAAGGCACCATGCCAGTGCTAAATAAGCCAATCATGAGTGGGAAAATTGATGTGTGAGAAAATGATTTTTTGCAGGTGCTCTTCCTGATGATTTCATTGACAGTTTAGAAAAGACACATGATGACAAGTATAAAATTACTTTAAAATACCCACACTATTTTCCTGTCATGAAGAAATGTTGTATCCCTGAAACCAGAAGGAAGATGGAAATGGCTTTTAATACAAGATGCAAAGAGGTACTATAAATGTTTGCCTTCCTTTTGTTTTTATGGAGGACTTTAGGGAAAGGGTTTGCTTTGTTTGCTACTGTTGAAATCAGCTCGGAGACTGATATTCCCATTTGTGTGAGCATTCTGTCTCCTAATCCCTCCAGCCTGTAAGACAGCTTTTTCCTTGTTCATTGGCAACCTGCTTGGTATGACCATAGGCTAAGCTGTTCTAATACAAATAGAATGGGTTAAATAAACTAAAAGTTGTATTCTCCTCCCAAGTCAACAGTCCAAGGCTGATGGGGTACCTCTCTCTGCTCAGCAAGTGACTTCCAAGGCCATTCCAGTTGTCACCATTTTCCAACCCATTGAGAGGGAAGGTAAAATGCAGAGGGAGCATCTTTGAGGAGAAGACCTAGAAATGACATGCATGAACTCCATTCACATCCCATTGACCCCAAAGGCCATCATATAACCATGTCTAGCTACAGGGGAGGCTAGGAAACGTAGTCTCCATTTGACAGCCATTTGCTCAGCTGAGGGAATCCTGTTTCTAAAAGGAAAAAAGGAAGAATTGGAAATGGAACCCAGGAGTCTAGTAACTCCACCACAGTCTGCCTCTCTGGCACCTTTTCTTCCCCCTCCCCCCAGCAGACAAAATCTATTCATCATATATCAGATCCCAACCAGTTACTGCCTTGAGCTCAAAGACCAGTGTCTCTAGGTGGTACATAGTCCTCCCCTGTTACAACTTCTCATGACCTAGAAACCAATGGAAGGGAAGACAGGTTTCCTGGCCCCCTTACCTCCAACACGCACAGCCAGTGATAAGATAGGAACAGAAAAACCACGCTGAAGACTCCCGTTTGGAAAAGGAAAGAGAAGAGACATAGCAGACCCATACCAATTTTCAGAAACAGTTTGTCAAGAATTGTGACGATTCCGTGCTCTGGCGAAGTCCCTGGGATAGCCCGTTGGACTTATTTGGATCTCCTTTCTAGCAGGAATTCCTTTAGTAACTGTACTCCATGCCCCATGGTTCTGCCTGCAGGGAATTCTTTCTTGTCCATTACCCTCCATGATGATAACCTGGCAGCTGCTAGTGTACATTCCTACTAGTGCCAGTTTACAGCCTGAGGGTTGCTTTAGGGGTCAAATCATCACAAGCATGTTAGGCCATGTTTATGATATCTTTGGTAATAAAAATTCCTCAGAAATTTAGTAGGTTTCTCATCTGTTTGTTTCCAATCAGATTTATTTTAAAATAACTACCCCCAAATGCCACTTTTGGTCCTAGGTCCTAAAACTACCAAGTCTTTTCTTGTATACTTCTATGTGACTCCTGTATGGTGTCCACCCTACTCTTCCTCCGTGTAGTGGCATCTGCTTCAAGACCCTCTGATATGGCAGGCTTGAGGAGGAGGGCAGCATTCTCAGACTGTCTTTGCAGTTCAGCAACTCTAAGTCACAATGTTTTCTCCCAACGTTAGGAATACAGAGCAACTGGCTTTTCCAGCCTTCTGAGACCCCAGATTGTGGGCCATGGACAGAACCTTTCTTAGCAAAATTCTTTTCCTTCCATCTTTGCAAAGTGACTAATTCTCAGTTGAGCTCATCTCACTCACATAATCTTTCTAAAAGCAACAGATACTGACAAACACACCAACATTATTAGTCCAAACACTCCGCCTAGAGCTAAGACTGAGGAGGAGGTTGGCCTGCCTTCCAAGTTATGGCAAGCAACAATTTTAACAAATGTTATCCGTGGTATAGTGAGGAGTACCAGCTTCCCAGCCAACAGTGTCTGCGTCCTCACCTTCCATTCCTGTACCTTTTTCATTTTTGCTATAGCCACATCCTATGTGTAATATTAGTCTCTGTGGACATTAGGGTACAGGTTAAGGAATGATATAAAGTCAACCAAAAGCACAGTGAGTCATTTTTCTTCAGAAAGGATTAATGGTTACCGATGGCTGGGGAGACTGCAGAATTATCGCTTAATGGTTACTAAGTTTCTGTTTGGGATGTTGGAAAAGTTTTGGAAACAGATAGTGGTAAAGGTTACTGCCCAACAGTGTGAATGTAATTGATGCCATTGAATTGTACATGTAAAATGGTTAAAATGGTATATTTTATGTTACATATGTTATACTACAATTTTTAAAAAACAGTTTATATCTCTTGCAACTAACAGTACAGAGGTGAGTGGTCCAGAGCTGGAAGACAGCTCTGCCATCCTCAGATTATATGGGTTCCAAGGTCATTGTTGTCATCTTCAGTTCATAGCTAGCAAGACAAGCATCTATAAAGAGATGATCCAGAAATTTCACTCAAGACCTCATTCACATTCCTTTGCTCCCTTGTGTATCACATGGCCACAACTAGCTTTTTTTCTTTAATTTTGTTTTTTATTTCGGGGGGGAGGTAAGTAGGTTTATTTATTTTTTTAATGGACATAATAGGGATTGAACCCAGGACCTCGTGCATGCTAAGCATGTACTCTACCACTGAGCCATACCCTCCCCCAACTACACAACTAGCTTTAAAGAAGGCCAGGAGAGGTAGTGTGTCCAGGTGACCATGTGTCCAGCAAAAGCTCAGAGGAATTCTTTTATTACTAAAAACAACGATGGGGGAATAGATACTGGGAGAAAATTGGTGGTCTAGGGAAAATGTCTAAGGAAACTGAAAAATGTGAAAGAAAAACTCAAACTAGAAAACTTTAAACTTTAGTTCTAAATTATGTAGAATTATATAGAATTATGCATTTCTTATATCTATGTTTCCATTCTAGTTTTAAAATAATACTAATTATAACACGTAATTATATAGTATTTGCTCTTGTGCCAGGCATTGTTCTATGTGCTGTACTTGTATTCTTATTTGAATCTTCATGATCACCCTATGATGTAGCTATTCGTATTATCCACGTCTTACAGATGAGAAAACTGAGGCTTATGAAGGCTAAGGGATTTACCAATAGTCAGACAGCTAGTAAAGGGTGGAGCAAAATTGTGAACCCCAGTAGTCTGACCTCATTGTGTGATTTTTCCTTAGGAACATGTCTATAAATAATTGGATGGTTTAATCATCACAAGTACATTTTCTTCGGCCTCAATATTTATTTCATTTCTCTACATAATTTTTCCTTTATTGTTAATAAAACAATGTCACTTTTTTGCATTTTGATGCAAATAAAATATAGAAAATGTAATAATTTAAGAAAAATCCCTGGAACATTTTTAAGAGTAGAGTTCTGTGACATTAAGTATATTCACATTGTGGTGCAGCACCATATGCATCACCAGAACTTTTTCATCTCTCCCAACTGAAACTCTATACGCACTAAACACTGACCCCCCTCCCCAATCTCCCTACGCCCCAGCCCCTGGCACACACCATTCTACTCTCTGTCTCTATAAATTTGACTACTTTAGGAGCTTCATGTAAGTAGACTCATGCAATAGTTATCTGTTTATGACTGGCTTATTCCACTTAGCATAGCGTCTTCTAGGTTTATCCATGATTTAGCATGTGTCAAAATTTCTTTCCCTTTTAAGGCTGAATAATATTCCATTGTATATACATACCACATTTTCTTTTTGAGCATTGGGGTGGCTATTATGAATAATGCTGCTGTGAACTTGGGTGTACAAATATGTGTTTGAGTCACTGCTTCCACTTCTTTGGAATATATACCCAGAAGTGGAATTACTGAATCATATGGTAATTGTAGGTTTCATTTGTTGAGAGATCATAATACTGTTTTCCACAGCAGCTGCACTATTTTATGTTCTCATCAGCAATGCACAAATGCTCCATATTTTCCATATCCTTGCCAATACTTGTAATTTTCCTTAAAAAAAATAGCCATACTTATGGGCATAATGTTAAAGTGGTAAATTTTGTATTGTGTATACCAATAAGATAAAAATGTAAATACCAATATTTGGTGCAGTTCTCTCAATGAGACTAAATGTGGAATCACTCTAGTCCTTAATAAAGTATTTGTACTCTAAGTTTACAGTACCTAAAATTTTGTTAAGACTTCAGTCTCTATCCCCTGAGGTTTAAAAAGTCCATTATTTCAGAAATAAAATTGTGTAACACTGAAATGGAATGACTTACTAGAAGTTGAGAAAGTCTAAAAATATTTGACAGGTTTACCAGCATAAAAATACTGTAATGAATCTTCTGAGTGCTTTGGATGCAATTAATTAATAACCTTCATTTTGGTCTTTGTTGTTGTTGTTGTTTGTTACTAGGAGAACACCATAATCCTGCAGCAGCTACTTCCACTGCGAGCCAAAGTAGCCGAACTGCTGGGCTACAGCACGCATGCTGACTTTGTTCTTGAAATGAACACCGCGAAGAGTACAAGCCATGTAACCTCCTTTCTAGGTTAGGTCTCCTTTTCTCAGTCACTGGTGTATTTCCTTTTTTTTCCTTATGACTGTTCTTCCACGTGATACCGATTTGATAGAGGGCCTCAGGACCTCATACGCCTTTGAGAACATTCTGCTTTTTTTCGTTCATTCAAAAGAAGTTTATTGACCATCTACTATGTGTTAGATACTATGCTTAGCCCTCAGGGTTGCTGTTGTTTGTATTACTGTTTTAGTTCTTGCTTCATTCTGTCTTGTATCTTGATTGGGATTTTTATACTATTTCCTAACTAGACAGCTAGGGCTCTACACAGAGGATTAGCCCACTGGCTTTGTTCAACTGTTACTAGGTGTTTGGCTGCTTACGAATTTGTATGAAATAAGGTGGTAAATAGGATATAAATGAAAATAGAGCATGTAAAAAAAGATTTTATATTCCAGAAACCACTTGTTAATACATAAAATACAAAATAATGTGCATCAAAACTGTCTAGTAACTATCTTCACATTCATTTAAAGTCACTTTTTTATTCATCTTTTTAAAACCATGGTTCTTATGTCCATGAGAGTTAGTCATTGGCCCTCTGTCACCCTTCCACACCCCGTTCTCAGTCTTGGTGTCACTGTTTCAGCAGTCACTTTGCTTTACTCTTTCATTTTAGTAAGAATGCTTGAATAACATTGCCATTGTAAAGACACTAATTTTTGTTTTAATCTTCCCTAATCAGAGTTTACCCGAGTATGATTTTTTTTTACTTTCTCACTGATCCCTTTCAGATTTTTTTCACCTTTAACAATAGTGTATAATTTTAGTAGGTTAACTAAGTTAAAGATGACTAATGATGTTTTAAAAACAGTGTTCAGCCTGAAGTTTACTCCACTGTGTTCTCAGTGGCCTTACCTTGAATTATGAATGTATATGCTGGTGTTACATACGGCATCTAGCATTTGCTCCATAAAGGATAGCTATTCAATCTGTACGATTCATTTACTCATTCATAAGACATTTATGGAACAACTGCCCTATAATAGGCAGAATGCTGCATAGTTGGACTCTAAAAAGGAATAAGACAAGGTCCTTTCTTCAGTGAATTTTCCATTGAGTGGAAACAACAGAGATGTGAAGAGGCAATTGCTATATATTCTGATGTGTCTTATACAAGAGAAGGGCTTTAATGGGTTTGATGAGAATGTTTCCTATAGTGGTGACTGTATATATATATATATATATATATATATGTGTGTGTACATATATGTATGTATGTGTGTATGTATACATATGTGTGTGTGTATATATACATAGATAGATAGATAGATAGATAGATAGATAGATAGATAGATAGATAGGATCAGAATTATATCTCTATATCTTCCATGGATTTCCTTCTTTCATTTCATAGCCTTCCTCAGGCTGCTGCCTTCACCGCATACTATGGGGCTGCCTCTCAAACTGCCTTACCCCTTACAGAGCCAACACATTTTCTCTGACGTATGTTTACAAGTTGTGAAGAATAAATACATGCTAAAAGCATACTCATTTAACCAAATACAGTGAAACAGTCAAAAATTGACCAAACTATAAAAATTATGGTATGCATCTAAAAAGTGGAACTGCTGTGTCCAAATAGGCCTTCTCCATAGGAACAGGGTAGTGATAGATTAAACCCATGGCTGTCAAAGGCGTTGAGCAGTTTTTAGTAATCCTAACCACTGGTCACGTCTGGTTTGTTTTCCCTGACTCTCTGAGGAGCCTGACCTCATTGAAAAATAATCACGAACGTGAGTTTAGTTCGCCTATTGCTTTGTTCCCTGAATTATAACATTCTTGAGTCCAAGTTCTCTGAGGTAAACTCTGGCTTTGTTGATGCTCTGAGGAAGTTGTGGCCTCGTTTGGGTGTTGAAAAAAGAGTGGGCGTGGGGAGCCATAAAAAAATTTCCCCGAAAAGAACAGCAGTGCTGTCATAATAAAGCCTGCTTTTCTCTCCCCTCCCTCCCTCCTACCTTCCTCCTCTTCTCCTATCTGTCTGCATTGGGTATGAAAAAGAGGAAGCGCCATGTTAAAATCCTGGTGGTATGTATGAATATGCTTGCCCCCAAGAGTGATGGATGGCTAAAACTTTTCCCTTGTCCCTCACAGATGATTTAAGCCAGAAATTAAAACCCTTGGGTGAGGCAGAACGAGAGTTCATTTTAAATTTGAAGAAAAAGGAATGTGAAGAGAGAGGTTTTGAATACGATGGGAGAATCAATGCCTGGGATCTCCATTACTACATGACTCTGACAGAAGAACTCAAGTACTCTGTAGACCAAGAGATCCTCAAGGAATACTTCCCAATTGAAGTGGTCACTGAAGGCTTACTGAACATCTACCAGGAGCTGTTGGGACTTTCATTTGAGCAGGTGACAGATGCTCATGTTTGGAATCAAAGTGTTACACTCTACACTGTGAAGGATAAAGCTTCAGGAGAAGTATTAGGACAGTTCTACTTGGACCTCTATCCAAGGTACTGAGGATCACATTGTTGTAAGGGACCTTAGGGATTCAACTCCTACCCACGTTAAGGCTCTTGTCTTCCAAAATTCTCATATGTGGTTCCTAGTAAAGAGATTTAAAAGCATGGGCTCTGAAGCCAGTACGTCTGTCTCCATTACTTACTAGGCAAGCTTCTTAATCTTTTTGTGCCACAGTTTCCTTACCTATATTATAGGTCCTGTAAAATGGGAATACTAATCATACTTGCTTTGTAAGGTTGTTGTAAGGATTAAAATGGTTAATTATGTGCAGAGCATTTAGAAGACTATGCAGCACATAGCAAGTGCTTAGTAAATGTTAGTTGCTTATTATCATCATTATCCTCAAAATCTGGTTTGTATACTGCATTTACTTACTTTAACATTGACCTCAAAATGTTTACTGTTCAGGTAATCTGTCTGCCAGTACTTTTAAATCTATGGCCACTCCCCTCAATCTGGCTGAAAGGCAGCACAGTACAAAGGAATAACGAAATCCTGGCTGTCAGTCAAACTCGAGTTGGGATGCTCATGACATAACCTTTCACGAGTCTCTGTTTCCACCTCCGTACTATGGGATCCCTTGTGCATTAGACTACATATGGTAATCACCCAGCTTCGGCATTCAGTCCGTGGCAAGAATTTAAAATGCTGTTAGTAGTGTCTCTGTAAGACGTGGTATCGATGGACTCCACAGTGTTTCATCAGACATGAAAGGCTTTGGATTACTTTCTCAGTAGGCTGCTTTCTAAAACAAAGCCAGCCTGTTGCAATTAATAATCCATTTTACTAAATAGGCCAAAGGAAATGATAGCATCTCCCTGTATCAGAAGCACATGTAAGTTTGTAATCTACTGATTTGGGGTGACTTCAGGAAGGAGGCTGGATAGCTGCTGCCAACCAGACAGGGGGCAGAAGTGTCTTATCCTAGTGCTTTATGGACTTACTTTCATCTCTGATGTTATCCAAAAATAAATCTGTGCCAAATGTTTGTAAGTCTGTTTTTAATTGAATAGTGTCGGGATAACAGTTTTAGGCCAAGAATTCTTTCAGAGGAAATCCTTCAACCTTGGAGTCTCCAGTCCCCAGATTCTCATTCCATGCTCAAAGATAGCAGTTCTTGCCACCCCATCTTGCTATTTCTCTGTCAAGATATAACTGGTTTCTAGGTGTACCATAGTTTATTTATTCATTCATCTACTAAAGGACATCTTGGTTCCTTCCAAGGTTTGGAAATTATGAATAAAGCTGTTATAAACATCCATTTGCAGGTATTTATGTGGATGTAAGTTTCCAGTCTCCTTGGGTAAATATCAAGGAGTACAATTGCTAGATTGTATGCTAAGAGTATGTTCAGTCTTGTTAGAAACTGCCAAACTATCTTCCAAAGTGGATGTACCATTTTGCTCTCCCACCAGCAATGAATGAGAGTTCTGTTGCTCCACATCCTTGTCAGCATTTGGTGTTGTCAGTATTCTGCATTTTGGCCGTTCTAATAGATGTGTAGTGGTATCTTATTGCTGTTTTAATTTGCACTTCTCTGATGACATATGATGAACAGCTTTTCAGCTTTTCATATATTTAATTACCATCTCTGTATCTCCTTTTATGAGGTGTCTGTTAAGGTCTTTGGTGTATTTTTTAATCAGGTTGTTTTCTTATTGGCGAGCGTTAAGAGTTCTTTGTATGTTTTGAATAACAGTTTTATCAAATGTGTCTTTTGCAAATATTTTCTCCCAATCTGTGGCTTGTCTTCTCGTTTTCTTGACAGTGTCTTTCTCAGAGCAGAAAATTTTCATTTTAATGAAATTCGGCTTCTTGATTTTTTTTTTCCATGGATTCTGCCTTTGGTGTTGCATCTAAAAAGGCATTGCCAAACTGAAGGTCATCTAGATTTCCTCCTGTCTTATATTTTAGAGATTTTGTAGTTTTGCATTCTATATTTAGGTCTGTGATCCATTTTGAGTTATTTTTTTCTAAAGGGTGTAAGGTCTGTGTCTAGACTAACTTTTTTGCAGGTAGATGACTAGTTGTCCCAGCACCACTTTTTGAAAAAACTGTCTCTACTCCATTGTATACCCTTTACCCTTTGGTCAAAGAGCAGTTGACTATTTATGTAAGTCTACTTCTGAAGTCTCTGTTCTGTTCCACTCATCTATTGTCTATTCTTTTGCCAGTACCACACTGTTTTGGTTTAGTAAGGCTTTCCAGTAAGTTTTAAAGTCAGATGGTATCAATCCCTTGATGTTGTTCTTTAATTTTGAGTTGGCTATTCTGAGTCTTTTGCCTCTCCATATAAACTTCTTCATATAAACTCTAGACTCAGTTTGCCAATACCTACAAAATAATTTGCTGGGATTTTCATTGGGATTGTACCGAATCTATGGGTGAAGTTAGGAAGAACTAACTTTAAGAAATAATCTTGATAATACTGAGTTTTCCTATCCACGAACATGAAATATCTCTCCACTTTTTAATTTTTCTTTGATTTCATTCATCAGAGTTTTATACTTTTCCTCACATAGATCTTATAGTATTTCATTAGATTTAGACCCAAGTATTTCATTTGGGGGCATGTTAATGTAAACGGTAATATTTTTTAATGTCAAATTGTACTTGTTCACTGCTGGTATATGGGAAAGTGATTGACTTTTTTATATTAACCTTGTATCTTGCAATCTTGCTATAATCACTTATCAGTTCTAGGAAGGTTTTGGGGGTTTTTGTTTGTTTCTTTCTTTCTTTCTTGGTTTCTTTTCAGGAGGAGTTTTTTTGTTGATCCTTTTGGATTTTCTACATAGATGATCATGTCATATGCAAACAAAGGCAGTTTTATTTCCCGCTTCCCAATCTGTATACCTTTTATTTCCTTTTCTAGTCTTATTGCATTAGCTATGACTTCCAATATAATTTTTGAAAGGAGTGGTGGAAGAGGACATCCTTTTCTTGTTCCTTACATGCTTTCATTTTGATTCAATTTAAATGTGTTCTGTTTTCCTTTGTGATCTTCTCTTTGACTCATGGATTATTATTTAAAAGTACATTTTTAACTTCCAAATATTTTGGTATTTTCCAGATATCCTTCTTTTATTTCTAGTTTGGCTCTGTTATTATTGGAAAAGTTACTATATATCATTTCAATTCTTTTTATACAGTTATGATTCATTTTATAGCCAACATGTAGTTAGTCTTGTTAGAATGTTCCATGTGCACTTGAGTATTTGCTTTCTGTTGTTGGGTTGAGGGTTCTATAGATGTTGATTAGGTGAAGATGACTAATAGTGTTGTTCAGACTTTCTATATCCAGACTGCCTATTCAGTCAATTACCAAGAGATGAATTGAAGTCTCTAAATGACTACAGATTTGTCTTTCTCCTTTCAGTTCTATAAGTTGTTGCTTCCTGTATTTTGAAGCTCTGCTTTTAGGTAAATACACATGTAGAACTGTTACATCTACTTAGAGAACTGACCCCTTTATCGATGTGTAATGGCCCTTATTATCTTTAGTAATATCCCTTGTTCTATTTGTCTACTATTACTGTAGCCATGCAGCTTTCATTTGATTAATATTTGCAAAATATCTCTTTTTCCATCCTTTTACTTTTTACCTATCTTTGTCTTTTTTATTTAAAATGGATTTCTTACAGTGTAGTTGGTGCTTGCTTTTTTATCCATGCTAATAATCTTAATAATAATAATTTTAATTGGTGTGTTTAGGACATTTACATTTAAAATAATTATTTATATGATTGTGTCTACCATCTTACTATTTGTCGCATTTATCCTTTTCCCCCCTTTCCTGACTTCTTTTGGGTTGATAGGTTTTGTTTTGATTTTTTTTTCTCTGCTGTTGGCTTATTATTTGTATCTCCTTTTAATTTTTTAATGGTTGCCTAAGGCTTTAAAGTATACATCTTTAATTAATCAGGGCCTACCTTCAAATCATATTATATATTATATTATATTATATTACATTATATTTATCATTTGTGTTGTTGTTGGCCTACATATTACTTTCACATATGCTGTAAGGCCCAATACATTGTTAATATTATTGATCTAAGTAGCTATTATTCAGAGCAATTCAAAATAAATAAATTGTAATATATATCTTTATTTATTATATTTTCAGCATTAATTGCTTTGTAGAAATGTTTAGAGCGATATCATATCCCTTCTGCCTGAAGAATTTCCTTTAAAATTTCTTGTAGTTCATGTCTGTTGGTAATGAATACCAGTTTTTATTTGTTTGAGAAAAATCTTTCTTTTTCTTTCATGAAATGTTTTTGCTGAATTCTGGGTTTACAGGTATATTTATCAGTGCTTTAAAGATGGTATTATATTGTCTTCTAATTTGCATAGTTTTTGACAAGAGCTCCACTGTAATTCTTACATTTGTCCTTCTATATGTAATGTGTTCTTTTCCTCTGACTGCTTGGCAGATTTTCTCTTTGTTCCTGCTTTTCAATAGTTCCATACACTTAGACATGTAGGATTATTTTCTTCTTTTTTTGTGTTATTTTTGTCTGTTTTTGTTGTATTTCTCTTCCCTGATGTTCTCTGAACTTCTTGGATCTATGATTTAGCATCATTAATTTTGGAAAATTCTCAGCTATTCTTCAAATATTTTTCCTGTCCTCTTCTCTGTTCTCCTGAAATTCCAGCTACGTGTATAATAGATCATTTGATATTATCCTACAGCTCTGATTCTGTTCTTTTTTGCACTCTTTTATAAAGCTTTGTGTTAATAAAAAATTAAATTAGATAAATTAGAAGCTTTGTGTTTAGATAGAGTAATTTCTGTTGGCCTATCTTTTGGTTTAGTGATTCTTTTCTTGGCTGTGGCAAGTGTATTGATGAGACTGTCAAGGGCATTCTTCACCTGCTACCTGCTACTCTGTTACTATGCTTTTTATTTCTAGCATTTTCATTTCATTCTCATAGTTTACAGCTCTCTGTGATAATTATGCATCTGACTGTGCATGGGGCATGGTGTCTGCATTTTCCTCCAGAACCTTTAACATTTAACAATTTTAGTTATTTTACTGTGGTATCTCTAACATCTTTGTCATATCTGAGTTTGTTTCTCTTGCTTTCTTTGCCTCTTGACATTGTATTCATGTTTTCCTTGCATCTCCCTATGCCTTACAGTTTTTTTGAAAGTCAGTCAGACATCTTATGTAAGACAGTAAAGACTAAGGTAAATGCTACTCATACCTGACAATGGGCGCATACTTACTTCTGCTAGGCCTTTAATGTGAGTGTTTGACTCATTCTGTTTAGTAGGTGAGCTGGCTTTGGGATTTGTTGTTGCTAGTTACCCGCAGTGAACCCAAAGCTTCAGATTCCTTTCTGTGTTTAGGATGAGAGCTGGTTTGCCAGAGCTTTTCTCAGTGTCTCTCCCACCCTCAATTTGAGGTCTTCCAGTTGTGCTACGCCTTAGAGGAGGTCTCTTCGCATGCTCTTGTTCCTTTCCCGGTAGTAGATTGCTATTGTTACTGGATGCCCGTTAGCCTGGTTTGGGGAGGGTCTTTTTCGTTGTTCTGAGTACGTCTCAGTCTTAGGTAGGGTCTGAGTCCCTGGATCTTAGGAGTGGGCGTATTCAGTGACACTGCCTCACACTTGGCTGTAGGTCTGGGCCCAGGATGTATTCCTGTCCTTCCTTCTGGGGTAGAAGGGTTTTCTTCCTGTTACCTCCCTCCACTGGCAGTGGGTTTCACCAGTGCTCTTAGAGCAGCAGGGTGTGTTGCTCTTCCCCTAGAAGCTCAAGGCTGCTGTTCTCTAGGGGAGAGTTGAGAAGGATCTAGGCAACACTCCCTTCTCCCAGGCCTGCATCTGCACTGATTCTTTCTCTGGGCTGTCACCCTGCCTCTGTCTTTTTTATGTGCAGCCAGTGAGGTCCACAGAGATGACCCTGCAAATGGATGCAAACTTTCCCTTATCTAACCTTATCTAACAACTTTTAGTGGTTTCCTCTTTTTGCTGGTCCACCATCAGTCTTCAGCAGTTTGTTAAAAAGTAGTCTTACTGGTGTCTGAAGTGTCTGCCCCAGGTTTAAAAAAAAAAAATGCTTTCTTCTTTTCCCTCTTTCCTTGGAGGCACCTGTCTTAGATTATACGTCATTTGCCCCTCAACCTTCACTTTCTGATGGATTCAAGAAAAGTTGTGATTTGCAGGTTGTCCATCATGTTGTAAGAATAAAAGCAATGCCCTTTTCAGCTTTCAACATCTTAAAAGGAAGCTGTAAAAAGACTAGTTTTTGTTTTTGTTTTACCTGAATAGCAACAGCAGGAAAAAAAAAAACACAGTAATAAGTCACCAAGAAAAGATAATATAGAAAAAGATATATAAATCAAAACACATCAAACTAAAAAATCCACACCAAAACTGAACAGTTTAGTCTTCTGAGCACACACACCCAAAAAAAAAAAAAAAGGAGAAAACCTCTTCCTGTGATACAGTCTAATGGCCCATAGCTTTTGGAGAGACTGTCACTGATATCACATTGTCCTAGAATAGATGCCTTTATTATAGTAAAATTCATGCTTTTTCCCAGGGTAGCTAAAAGGATTCTGTTTCCAAAAAGCCCTATCTAGTTTAAAAGGAGCTCATTTAATTGTGAGCATGGAGTCTTCCCTCCTTGAATAAAAGGAGCCGCCTTGCTGTCTGGGATTTAGTTTTTATCAATTTTAATTTTAAGGAAAAACTGCCTAATGAATCAAACTGTATCTTTTATCTTGAATTTGTTTCAACAGTATTTTAACATTTAATGACTCCCGTCTTTGAAGAAGAGAAGCAGGAGCTCATTAAAATAAATCGGACATCCACTGTAGCCTGCTTGTGCTGTATATTCTCAATTCTTACATTAAGATTTTTCAAAAAAGACACCTTGGAAATATCATTCAGATCAAGTGATGGTGGGTTTTTTCTTTGTTTAGTTTTCATTTCAGCAAAGCATAGACCTACTGTATAAAAGGTGACTTAAATGTTTCAGAGCATCTTCTGTTATCATGTATGACCGGTGACAGAGAGAGGCCGTTGTTGCTAGAGAAGAGTGTTTTACCTAACCAGCTGTGTTTCTGGTTCCAGGGAAGGGAAATACAACCACGCAGCCTGCTTTGGTCTCCAGCCCGGCTGCCTCCTGCCTGATGGGAGCCGCATGATGTCCGTGGCTGCCCTTGTGGTGAACTTCTCGCAGCCACTGGCAGGTCGGCCCTCTCTCCTGAGGCATGATGAGGTGAGGACTTACTTCCATGAATTTGGGCATGTCATGCATCAGATCTGTGCACAGGTGAGTGGATTTTTTTTATGGTCAACCTACCAATTTCTTTTCCAGATTTTTTTTCCTGCTGCTATCAGGTTTGAGACCCTTAACATGTTTTCTCAGAAGCTGAACATGTTCGGGAATTTCATAGGCCTTCTGCAAAAACACAAAATTTTTCTTACTGGGTCCTCTTTCACAACGTATTTTTATTCAGCGGTTAATTTGCTGATGAAAGAACTCCATTGAATACCACCCTATGGAAGAAGAAAGAAGGCTATCATTAAACAAGGGTTACACAACTCTGTTTTTTCCTTTTAATTCTTTTTCTCATAGGAATTTGGTGTAAGCTTCAGAGATAAACTGTGCTTCACTCTGTCTTTTCTGCTTATTAATGCTTTGTTTAGTTCAATAGTCTTTTCTGCTTATTAATGCTTTGTTTAGTTCAATAGTTTTCAACTGTCCAGACCCTATACTCCTTTTCTAATAATAAATATTGTGTAACACTTTCCTTTACTAGCTTTAAATTATATCACAGGTAACATGGTATAACCACGTGGAGAACTGACTGGGGAGAGGATGTATGTGTGCAATGAATTGCAACTAATTTCTCCTTATTTGTGACAATAAAAAAATGCATTTATTCTCAACTTTGTAACACAGTCTAGTAAACTAGACTGAAACTATTTTAGGATGAACCATATGAACTTGCTAATACTTAACCACTATTGACATATAAAAACATCTAGTTCAGTAGTTCAGCCTAACAGTTTAAAAGACTGATATTTACAGAAGCAGAGGGACAGTTTTCCCAATTTGAAATCTCTATGCACCTCTGCAGGTAAACTTTGAAAAAATAATATGTTTTTTAGAATAGTTTTAGATTTACAGAAAAGTTACAAAGATAGTACAGCCATTGCCTGTGTACTCCACACCCTGTTTTCCCTACTGTTAACATCTTGCATTATTATAGTACCTTTGCCACCACTAAGAAGGCACCATTGGTACAGTACTCCTAACTAAACTCCACACTGTATTTGGAATTTACTAGTTTTTCCCTGATAGTATTTTTCTATACAGATAATTTTTTTAAGTCTATGTAATTTCCTCACTGAACATAAAAGAAAGCATTTTTTTAAATGTTTTTCAAATGGCAATGCCTGGCATGACTGTGCAGTATGACATAATGAAGTATTCAGGTTATATGAGAATAACCGTGAATCTTGCAGCAAAAACTACACACTAATATATAAGTGGTTTGTTTTGTCAACCGAAGTCCAAGAATGGTATAACCAGTTGTCTTAGTTTGGATTGCTATAACAGAATACCATAGATTGAGTGACTTAGAAACAACAAAAATTTCTCACAGTTCTGGAGGCTAAAGTCCAGGATCAAGGTGCTGGCAGATTTGATGTCTGGTGAGGACCTGCTTTCTGGTTCAGAGACAGCACCTTCTCTATGTCCTCACACAATGGAAAGGAGCTCTCTGGGATCTCTTTTGTAAGTTCCTAACCCCATTCATAGGACTCTGCCTTCATAACCTAATTATCACCTCCTGCCATCACATGGGGGGTTAGGTTTCAACGGATGAATTTGGGTGTGAGACAAATTTTCAGTCTGTAGCATCAATGGTGACATGATTTTACAAAGTGGTGAACACCTCCTGGGAAACTTCCCCAAAAAATCATGCTTTGATTTGCATGATTCATCCTAGTAGTTAGAGTCTTGGAAATTGTAAGTGTGCAAAAATACTTTAAAAATATGTGCAATGGAATTAGTTTCTAGGCTCACTTAATTAAAGATTGTTCATTTATATGCATGTCCAGTAGGACATATAAATGACAAGCAGAATATGGGACAATTTTTTGTGGTCCTGACGTGTGCAGTTCAGTCCTGGATATCCAGCATCCCACTCCCAGAGTAGCCCCTAATCATTGAAATAACCAAAAATGCACCCACTCATTTCTAAAATACTACTATCATTTTTGTTTAAAAGCTATTTAGTTCTTTCAACATTTTATCTTTACATCCTGATGCTTCCATGTTTTGTTTTTAAAAACCAAGGGGAATAAGATATGAATCTATTCAGACAAATAAATCCTGGTATACTGATATAGCCATTTCTACCCTCTGCTTAATCCAAAGAAAATAAATCTTTCAAAATAACCTAAATTTTCTTTCTTAGATAATTTTTAAAATTCTATTTTTACAGCAATAGATTTCCTGAAATAACTTATTTTCCATCAGTGTCCATTCTATGGATGACATTTCCTTTAATTAGGATAAGTTTAGTTTTCATTTTTCTAAAGTATGTTTATGAATAATTTAGAAAAGTCAAATACTTTTCTTAATTTCAGACTTAAAGGATATTACTTAGGTTATTCGAGATCTAGTTATGTGTCTATACATAGATAAACAAATAGTCTGCTTTTGGAACAGTGGATCTTAACTTCTGTGTATCTGAGAACGTATAAAAATCTGATTTAAGCTATGGATACCCTTTCCAGAAAAATGTACATACACTTACACACTCAAATTTTTTACATGGAATTTCAAAGAGCTCTTTTACCCCCTGAAGCCCAGACCATACCGAATTCCAAGTTAAGAATTCCTGAGTTAGAGCAGTTTCCTCCTTAGTTGGATGTTAATTATCAGTTAAAGATTTCATGAGGAAGTAATTTGGTGTCTTAATCACATTTATTAAAATAATACTGATCCTCAAATGGGTTTTCAGTGCTTTTGATGCATGTTCTCATTTTCAAACATGGCTCTCCTGAAACCGTAATGTCATATGCTTATCACGCATTCATGATATAGCTCTCTGCAGCTCTGTTATTCCTATATTAATTTTGATCCTTTGAAATACCCATTTTAGTACTGGAAAATAACTTTCCTGGTACTATGGCATCTTAAAGCTCTGTAATTCATGACTGCTCTTTATATATGTATATACGAATGAACTATATATATGAATAAGTATATCTATGACTGAACATATAAATGACTGAACTTTATATATGAATATATATGAATCAGTATATATACTGATATACTTCTGTTAGTATATATACTGATGAATGAAATATATATTTCATATATATACATATATATGAATAAACTATACATATCAGTGTATAATTATATAGATGACTGAAAATGTGAATATATATATGTGAATCAGTGTATACGCTGAAAAACGGATGAAGATATCTCTCTCTCTCTAAACAGTAGACTATATTCAATTCCTAGAATTTGCCTAACCTCCTTCATGAACATAAAATGTGTCTTACGGATGAATAGTGTGTTAGTACAATCCCTTGCTGGTCATCTGTTAATGAGATTATCTTTGAAAAATCTTTTGTTTGTCTGTTAATCCTTTCAAGTGTCCTGTAACATTTTAAGATCTTTTAAGGTAACACATTTGAAACCAGTGATCTCTGCTTTTGTCTTAAAAGTAGTAGACACAGATCCATATATTTGCAGCTTTATAATAATTACAAAACCTTTTGTACTGACCTAAACTAGATGGCAGTGAATGAGGAGTTTAATAGTCTCTGTGTTCAGTAAAACTTCTGACTTATCTGAAAAATACGTAGTGAATTTTAAATTGGCCATATATATTCAGTAGATTGATTTTAAGATATGACAGCCCAGTGTTTGAGTTCACCACCATGGCAATTTGCAAGTTTGATAACCAGAAGAGCTCGTTGGACCTTGCCATGGTAATATTTAAATGTGTCAGCAGGAACAGCCAGTTTTCAAACATGTAGATGCACTGGTTCAAGGTGTCTACCATCTCATCATTCAGGAGCTGAGTTTCACTCATATTTTTTTGTGTTTACACTTCAGAGTAGATAATTTTGAAGATAGCAATCAAGAGATGGCATCTCCAGTATCTGTTCCTGTTTCATGGCTTTATTGTGGTTTGGGCTCTCAGTAACCACTGGCCTTTTGAACTTACATGGAAGACAAGACTAACGCTTCTTAACAGCCTCCATGTGATGTCTGTGTTGGTTGTGCATTAAAAGCAGGAATGAGTTTTGGACTCATTTGGACTGTTAGAGATCATTATTTTAAAGCAACACATGAGAATCACCATAATGCCTTATTAAAGTGAAAGGGATAGAAGGGTGAAAAAACTTCAGATTTCAAATAATCTATTAATTTGGCCTACAGACTCGTAGATCATCTTGTCTGCTTTAACTATTTTGAATTAGATACTGTTTTAAATAAACGTAGCCTATATCAGTCAGGAAGGCACCCTAGGGTTATAACAAGAACCCTGGATTAGAAATCACCCGTGTACTTGTGAGCCTGGCTGTGTGACTTTGGGCAAGTTTTTTGACCTCCTTGAACCAGCTCTTTTTCTTATTCATAAAGTGGGGACAACAACAATTCTGAGACCTACTTCCCTGGAGTGCTGGGAGATTAACTAATGTGTGAAAATGTACTTGGGGAAGCATAAAATGCCATGCATATTTGAAGTGTTCTTGTAACTATGCTTATATATAATTCAGCCCTTCGAGATCAATAAGTAGCACACAGGTCAGAATTTAAGGTGGGGAGAGGATAGCCAGGAGGAAGAGCACTGTCACTTCTGGTTTCAAAGAGTTCACAGATGCTCATCCTCAGTGGATTTAGGGTGGAGATCTGTGGAAGGTGATTGGAAACCACGTTGGTATTTTTGTTTTGTTTTAATGACCACTGCCTGCTTTGAAGTTTGATTTCTGGAGCTGGAGCAGAATGAGCAGTTTAGTTGAAGAGAAATGTGGGCATATTTATCTTCAGTATTAACACCAAGGAATAGATACTTGGAGGAAGCTGAGGACAGGCTTGGTCAGACCAGCCAAGACCACCCCTGGTCAGGCAAACTGGGGAGACTGAGAAGAATGACAGAGGCCAAGAGTCACTGAGCACTGACCATGTGCCAGGCATTACAGTCAGTGCCTTAAATTCATTAATTTTATCCTTACAATATTTCTGAAGTGGGCTTCAGTCTGCTTCTATTACTATGCTATTATACTATTATT